GCCAGGGCACTGCTTTACTGAAATCACCCCACCAGCTGTATGCAGATCTCACTGCGTGGGTACAGACGTCTTTATTTTTCATTCCTCATGGCACAGTTACATATCCCAATGATTACTAAAACTTGCTTATGTTACAGGCCTCTCTCTCCACCAGACATGTCTGCAGTTAACTCCTTCTGCAACCAAAAGTCTGTCTCTGCACGAACACAGTGAATGGAGCGCTTGCTTCCTCGCCCACTCCAGCACCTGCTGGCCAGGAGACAACACTGACCAGAATTAAGGTAAGACTTGGTCCTAAGGGAAATCTACTTCTACTATGAAAGAGGAGCAAGTATCTTTCCAAGCTAGCAGGCAGTAACCAGCAACCAAGGGGTGGTGTGCACCAGAAGCCCCTTTCTTTCATTACAGCACGTCCAGCAAACAGGGATTACCCCTCTGGGAATCCCAGCTCCTTGCTTTGCTTGCCAGGCGTGCCGATGGAAAACCTCAGAGGTGAATGCTCAACGCTTGAGCAGATCTGTAATTAACTACAACTGTCCTCATAGGTTCAGGCATGCAATGTTATGTTTTCCCTCAACTGTCAATAAAAAGTTTATTTTAAATTGTTGCTGTAAAATTAGCATGTTGACTTTTAGCACCATTCAAATCCTACCTGGCAGACGAAGATTATATTGACAAGATTTCTGTCAGGTTGTTTCGGTGTGGAAGTTTAAAACTTGTTCTGCAAGGCTATTAGAAAAATTAAAATAAAAACCTACCTAAAATATACCATGATAAAGTCATTTTAAGTATATAAATACATTACAAAATCTGTTGCTTTAAATAAATTGTGCTTTTTTAGAAGCTTTCCTGAAATTATATGCTTCTGCCCAAACTTAGACAACTTGGCCTAGATCTCAGGCTGTTTCAGGGCGGTGAACAACAGATTTCATAGCCAAATTATATCCCCTGGTGCACAACGAAACAAACTGCCCTTTCTTCCCTCATTGCTTTCCCATGAATAAAGAAAACTTTTCCAAAAGTTATGGATTTGTCCACACCTGAGACTGATTCTGAAGATTCAGCCAAACAAGTCAGAGCAGTCTGGGTATGCATTCGTGCAATATGCTTCAGGTTTGAGGCCACGAAGTGCTAACAGAATATTCACGTACATTCCCTTAGAGGTGCCTAGTTGTATTAATAGTTATTCATTCATCTATTCAGTTAAGAAAATAAAAAGCTCATTTATCTTTAAAAAACAAAGTGCAACAGCCCTTTTCAGGACTCACTGCTACAAACACGTACAGGGACCCTACAAAACAGTCATCAGGGTTTTGCCTTTGATTTCAATAGAGGCCAAGTTTCACTCGAGTCAGTGAACACCGAAAACTCCTCCTTTAAGCTTTGATTATACTTGGTATACCCATTCAGCATACTCAGACTCTGCCATTCCTTACATTTGAAGTGGCTGAGGTCTTCCAAATACTCAAGATTCCACCGTTTCCCTCAAAAGCATGGCTTTAAACTGATGCAGTTAAAATTGTACAAACCTAATATGGACATTCTTACCTGGATTTAAGCCTATTTTAGACTACCTTACAATGGCTACTGATCAAGTGAAACCTCATGAATACAGGGCAGATTTAAATCCAGCTAAGCATGGGCCGCTGAGATTGATTTTTAATGTATATATTTCAGCAAGTTTAAAGCTCCAGTGTTGCAACTTTGAAATAGATAAACCTTAACTATTGCATCTCTGTGACCTTTACTTGAAAGGATTAGGGCTTCCAAAAATCTTTATATAAGAAACATTTATCAATCAGCAGAAAGTTATTTTCTAAAAAGTTATCCAACAATATTCAATCTACACTTTATCTCACAAGGATTAATATGGTTATTTGGAAAAGGCATATAAAAATTCCTGTTCTGACAGCCGGATATTAAACGGTACCCTCAGGTTGCTCCAGCTACACTGAATGTTGTTTTTCTAAAACTAGATTGATGTTCTACCTGATTTGTTTCATGAAGAAAAAAGCCAGTCACACATCCATCTGAATGTTAAGAATGAGCACTCTTTTTCACAAGCACTAATGTCACAAAGCCAAAGCACGCTAATCAATTGATTTCAGTGACACAGCTGAGGACAGAAAGCTGAAATTAAAGCAGGCAAGTAGCATCACAGGAAAAAACCCAACACATTATACCAGTGAAAATCTCCTCTCACACACCCATTTCAGGTTGCTGTTCCTATCACAGAAACAATCTACCAAAAAGTGCAGTTTCTCAAAAAAAAAAAAAAAAAAAAAGCAGTTTTCCCAGCATGTCTCAAGACCTCCTCGTATCCTATCCTATCCTTCTGCCTTTGAACTGCTGTCAAAGGAAGGCCATCCACATGTCGAGCAGAGTTGAAACTAGTAAGGGATCACATATTTAAATCAGGTCAAAATCAGAGCTGCAGTGAAGTGCTCTCTGCTGAGGAAAAGGCTTTTTAATCTCCCTTTGAACTAGTCATTAATAATCTTCTGAAACCGCTAGGAATGGAAACAAAAACAGTCAACTGGTCCAAAGACCAGAGCAGCCTCAGACACGAGGGTGACCCTTGCTTCCAGAAGAATAAAACCCACAAATGAATCACAGTCATACTCAAAAAACCCAACCCGATCTGGCTTCGCCCCTGGTTTCCCCCAGCCCCCCAAACCCTGGGCCTCCCCACAGCCCCTTCGTGCCTCAGCTCCCTCCTTCCCCCCAGCCAGCCACCCCCCAACCACCCCACGTCCAGGTGCCCAGCCCCCGCCCCCA